ATTGAGGAGGTAAAAGAGACATATTACCAATAGAACAAGACAATTTACACTTAAAATAAGAAAACACAATTACATTGTCTTATTTCAAGTGCATATTATCTAACTATCTTATTTTAAGAGTAAAAATACTCGTTCCATTGGCAAACTATTTCACTTACCTACTCAAATTAAGGGTAAATATGCTTCATTTAAGAAATGTTAACTTATTTCTAGATCGTTTTTCCGGTGTGCATGAAATGAAAAAACAAAGAAACACTTTTTTAGAGAGAAATAGCTTTATCAGCATCTAAATTAAACTTTTAATGGGTAATTTGTTGTTGCTGTTTTTAAGTGTGCATCTCAAATAGCAGGAGATTTAAAAGGATTCATTAATCAGAGCTTTAAGCTGCTTATTACCCAGAAGATGATGGCCAAAATATCTCTATCAGCTAAATAAAGGTCTCATCATTACTTTAATGTTTCTGATCAGAGTGTAGGCGGTGCTTACACTCCATCCTGTGCAGCTTTGCAGCATTTTCCTCTTTGAATTTATCATTTCATGTCTAAATCATCTGTACATCAACATTTACAACTGAACCTTCACTATGACTGAAAAGGCTGCATTTCTGTTTCTTTTGTACATTACTGACCTCTAGTGACCAAAGTTGGAACATTCAGGTTGGGAGTTGTACAGTAATATTTCATTCCTGTAATAAATCTGGGCTTAATGATGTGTATGGTTTTTTTTATGGAATATTATTATTGAAACATTTTTTCTGAGACTAATGATTAAAAAACATCAAATTTCTAAGATAAGAAAAAATATTTTTAGAGGCCAGAATTGAAATAAAGACTCTGTTTGGGACTGCTGATATCCTCCTTGTCTCATTTATAAATCTAAACTCTTTTGTTGGATTTAAAATTAAAATAATTCATTAAAATATTGTTCTGATCAAACCAATCAACCTATCATTATTTGTTGTGATGTAAAACGTAATTAAGCATCTGGAGTCCAAACAGACCTGGAGATTTAGCTAATCATGAGCTATCTCTATAGTTCTGCTGCTATAGGCTTAGACTGCTGGAGGACATAGGGACCCCTTTTTATCATTCTGCTTCAACTAAGTCGAACACAGACAAAGGCATTTTTAGCTAATTTATGGAGGTGCTGAAGGAACCCTTATTTGAATCAAAACACCTCTAAACATGAGTTTCTTTAATACTGTATGCACTTTTTAAAATAATAATAAAAAAAAATGTGATATTGTAAAAACTATATTGTATTTGGTTATTTAATGCCTTTAATTATGTCAGCTTCATCAGAAATAATAACAAAAAAACAAGTAAACAATCCTGAACTATCTCTATAGTTCTGCTGCTATAGGCTTAGACTGCTGGAGGACATAGGGACCCCTTT